ATGACAAAAACCTTTTTCATCCTTAGTGTCCTTATCCCTGGTGAAAAATGGCCTGGCATTAACATAAAAAATGGCCTGGCATTAACATACATATATACCTAGAGCCCGTAATCGAGCAGTTGAACAAGTTATGGGATGATGGGTTAGTACGTACGATGCATACTCTAACCAAACATTTCGTTTACATGCTGCGTTGTTATGGACAATAAACGATTTCCCTGCATACGGAATGCTATCGAGCTGGAGTACAAAGGGAAAATTAGCTTGTCCTGTCTGTAATAGTGGGACATGCTACCAACGTTTGGAATTTGGTCATAAAGAGTGTTACATGGGCCATCGAAGATGGCTGGCCACTGACCATAGATGGAGAAAAAATTATAAATTTGATGGGAAGCATGAACTTAGAGGTAAACCTAAATTGTTATCAGGAGAAGAACTTTTGCAGCAAATTGAGATGGCATTTGAAACTGATTTGGTAATCACCGATAGTGGGAAAAGGAAAAGAGGTTGTTCTGATAATGTTCATAACTGGAAAATCAAAGCATTGTTTTGGAGCTTGCAATATTGCAAAACTATAGAGTTGAGGCATAATGCATGTTGAAAAATACATTAGTGAGAATGTTTAAGCAACAATGCTAAATATCTAGGGAAAGACCAAAGATACTTCCAATGCTAGACGTAATTTGGAACAAATGCGCATTAGGAAAGAGTTACATCAGGTGATGGATGGTGGAACTTGCAAAATGCCGCAAGATTTATACACCTTAAAGATGTCACAACGAAGGGAGTTTTGTGACTGGGTGACGTTTATAAAGTTTCCTAATGCTTATGCATCTAATATCTCTAGGGTGTTACTAGTGATGGTAAGTCATTTACTAGCATGAAAAGCCATGATCACCATGTGTTCATCCAAAGACTCTTGCCTGCTGTTGTACAAGGGTTCTTGAGCAAAGATGTATATAATATACTCTCTAAACTTAGTGAATTCTTTCGAGAGTTGTGTTCAAGATTGATAACCATGTCCACTGTAAAAAAAACTCGATGATAACATTCCCATACTCCTTTGTAAGCTGGAAATACTATGTCCACCAGCTTTCTTTGTTGTGATGATGCATCTTCCTATTCATCTTCCCTATGAGGTTGAGCTCGGGGGACCTGTACAGTACCGATGGATGTACCCAATGGAGAGGTTCGTTTAAAACACACTGACTGCCACCCTTTTGTGTTTTTTTTCTGACTTTTACACATCGTACCTAATTTTAACATTCGGTTTGATTTTTTTAGTTTAACTAGGTTTTTAGGAATTTAATTTTTGTTGCACAGATAAATCAGATTAAATGTGCTCTTTAAAATGATATCCACTTTTATATATTTTTAGTACAAAAAGAAAATTGAATAATTGTTTACCAGCATTACCATATGGTAAGAAGGTTGAATACATGATAGTAGGAGTATACTAACTGTCATTTACGACTTTCATCATTGTTTACTACAAGTTACCACCCACATACCATAGTAGTAAAGTATGGTAATTTTTATCCAGTATTTTTTTCACCCAGAAATTTATAGATCCAATAAATCATGATGAACTCGTTTCTACTGAGCAAACGTTTTAAAAAACGACTTAAAACGAAGAAGTTACCATATGGTATGTAGTTGGTTAACAAAAAATTTCTCGAAATATATTAAAAATTGATCTCATTTTGTAGAGCACAACGAACTCGTTCCATCTGTGCAAAAAAATTGAAATCCGAGTTAGAACGAAGAAGATAAGAGCCGATTAAGAAAACTAGGAAAAATAAAATGTCTTTAATTGACAACCCTTAGATCTGAATTTTCTGGACCCACTTAGATCTAAAGGTCCAGATTTAGTTACTCATAGGACAGTAACCAATGGTTACTGACCCTATCCTAAGCCGCCGATTGGAGCGGATCACTAGAAACGCCAACGCTGATTAGAGAGAAAATAAGAATCCATTGCTTTCTTTCGTATTAGTATTTTCTTTCCTTCTCGTTATTGGTATTATGATGAACATGAACATGATTATATCTTTGAACTCGTCATGAATTAAACCTCACTTTATGAGGGATGTATCATAGTATGTAGCTATTTCTAGACTTGATAGATTGATTCTTATTTCTTTCGGGTAAATGCCACATTTCGTCACTGAGATTACTAAATCGTGTCATGTTTAGTCACTAGAAAATTTTAATATCAATTTTGGTCATTCAAATTGCTGAAACATGCCACATTTAGTCACTCTCCCGTTAGTTTCCGTCCAACTCCACTAAATGTGACATGTTTCAGTAATTTGAGTGACTGGAGTTGGACGGAGGCTAACAGAAGAGTGACTAAATATGACCAGTTTCAGTAATTCGAAATGACCAATAATCTAAATGACCAATATTTGATAAACATAAAATAGAGAAATATGGAATCCAAGAATATGAAAACTTGTCCATAAAAACTATCAATCTTGATTATCTTAATCGTATTCTAAATTTTCATCTTCTTCATTGTTGTCTCCGTCACTTTTGTCTCCACTAACACTGGGCTCGGCCCGTTGGCCGAGTAACCTTAGCATGACCGTATCTTTTGGTGCAAGTTGACTTGTTAAGTAGAATTATAATAAAGTATAATCTGAAATTCAAAAATATCAAGTGCTTAGAATTGCATGTCCTTAGATGCTAATTGCTTGTTACGCTAAAACTATAATAAGAAGTATATGTGATTTGCTTCCTACATAACATGAATAGTGAAGTTTCAACATGAAACTTAAGATCCTGTTCATCATAGATTTTTCTTCCCATTTTTTTCGTGGACATTTGCGGTTCAAACGTTTCTTTCCGAGCTAGAGGATAGTAAGATAAGAGCACGCACGCTTCAAATGACCCACTCGCCCACAATGGAAGTAGAAGCTGGGTAGGTATTTATATTTTAGACTGACCCAAGCAGTCAATCTCCTCACTTGCCACCATGAACTAAGAACGTAGTGGCTTGGTAAAATCAATAAGAATTCTTGGGAGGCGAATACACCTGCTTCCAGGACCTGTCCAATAGTAGCGGCACCTACTTTTTGGTCGAATTGTTTGGTACAACGCTCTTCTCTCACAACCCAAAGATGGACACGGAACGGGGCAATCACCAGGTCATCGAAGGTCTTCTTCACCTCAATACCCAAATCTTGGACTCTTCACTTGCTAGCACGAACTTGAACAGGCAATGTGTATCCATAGGCAACTTGGTCTGGCCCTTCCACTGCCATGGCACATCCTAGTCGTCACACAATTCCATGGTGGTAGTTATGTTGTCAATGAAAAACCTGCTCAGCAATGTGCGGGAGGCGCAGAATTGCGCAGATTGAGCCTCCTCCAGCAAAAATTGAACCACCTTATCCTCTGTGACATAAGCCATCATAGTCTCCTGAAAAAGGGTAAGGGAAATTGGATAGTTGTCAATCTCGCGTTGTTGTAGGGGAGCTGCTGGTTGTCTTTCCACCACAAGCGACACACGTCTTTGGAAGGGGACGAGAGTACACAATTGAGGGATTGGATTTTTATAAGGAAAAGAAGTCCTAACAGTCCCATAAGGTAACATAACCGGTTTGCTCATGCCTAGTAGAGTTGGTTGGGGATTAGGAGTCATTTTCTTAATTTTACTCTTGTGTTTGTTCATTTGGATAGTTATCAGAATCCCACCAGCCCAGTGCAGAATATCTGGGGTGAGTAACTGCCCAACTGCCCAATCTTTTCCCTGACACGTAGACAGGGCTACTCAATGGTGGTAGATTGGGGAATGTCGGTAGATTGGTTTTTGAAACATTATCTAGCGGATTGGATTTTTTTTAAAACAAAGTTGCTTTGTAAAGGTAAAATGGATTTGACTCTAGATGAGAAAGCTTCATCCGGGTGTTGTTCTCCCTAGCTAACAATTATGAATGGAAGAATCGAACGACCGTGTGTGGTTGGGGGGTCTAAAACCGCAGGGAAGTCTAACAAGCAGCCGAAGCTACCTTCTTAGCCTCTAGGTTGAGGAATGGTTAGACTTCAACCTTGAATTGGAGTTCAGACGACCACCCACAACCAAACCCTAAGTGCTAATGCGGGTTAGGAGGTTTGCCCTTTCAATAACTTAGAATATGAGGCATAGAATGCCCAAGGAAACCCATCTCTAATAGAGCCTCTTAAGTTAAGGTGGGTTATCTCTAAACTACCTTAGGAGGCATTGAATGCCCAAGTAAACCCATCTCGAATGAGCCTCTTAGGTTAAGGAGAGTTCTCTCTAAACTAGTTTAGGAGGTGTTGAATGCCCAAGGAAACCGAGCCTCTTGGGTAAAAGAGGTTTCCTCTCTAAACTAGCCTAGGAGGCATGAAATGCCCAAGAACCCCATGTCAATATTAAGCCTCTTAACCTAAGGACATTTCCTCTCTAAACTAGCCTAGGAGGCCTCAAATGACCAAGAACACCCAATGAACCTCCTAACCTAAGGAGGTCTCCTCTCTAAGCTAGGTTAGAATGACAATTAGATTGATAGGCTTTCACACAACACAATCATATCTGAATAATACCTCCACATTCACATTAAAACACAACCACACCCAAATAATTCAGTTCATACAAGCATTCACGTAATTGTAGCTAGAGTTTACAAACACCCAAGTGAAAGAAGAGACAACTACATACTAGGAGAAGCGAAAACACAAGAGAGGGAAAGGGAAACCATCAAGAAGATGCATCCTTGCTTCTTGTGCCGAAGAAATCCTCCTTTGGGGAAGAAACTTCCAAAACCTTGCTTTTAGAAGAAACCTTAGCTTTTCCTCTTTTTCAGTTCGTCACTTTGTCACTCTAAAATCTGAAGGAGAAGTTTTTCACTCTAGGTCTCTCTCCCTCCTTTTCTTCTTCCTTTCATCTTTCCTTTTAATTGGAAGTTCGCGCCCAGTTCACCACTTGAGTTCACGGTCGTGAACATTGAAACGCGTCCGTGAACTCTGTACCGCGACCAAAATGCACTGCTTCATTTGCTCCGGTTCAAGGTCTTAGCGACCGTGAACTTCCTGGGCTTCAGTAACCTGCAAACCCCCTCTGTTTGCTCCTCACATAACAGGTCATGGCTTCAGTTCCCGGTCTTGTAAGATCGTGAACTCCAACATAAGGCCATGAACAGAGACTGTCTCCACCTCTTTGCCCGCTCTCTGCTCCTTTTCTTCCAACTTTCAACTTCGGGTTTGGTTTTACCTGTTAAGATCTGAAACACACTAAAACACAAGCAACCTCTTGTAAAATCAACCTTTTTAGAGTTCAATTGAAACAAAAGAAAAAAAGGTTGGTCCGATCCCTTAGATATCTACGATCTTCCATGCGATGGCCCTTTCATGACGACACACGACCTTAATCAATTCAATCTTCTACTCTGGTGTAAGATTGGAGTGATGACTGGGAGTTTGCCATCATCTGTCAGGAAGGCATACTCAAGATGGGGAGGCAGAGGCTTCAATTCCAACTCGGGTGGTTCCTCCAAGGAGGTAGGGATTTTAGGCATTGCAGACAGGGCTTCAATTCCAACTCTGGAGATTCTGCAATGTTTGTTTCCACTAAACAACATTCTTCAAAAGGGTAAGCACCACGGACGTGAGTGCCTCTTTGAAATCAAAAACCTCATCACAATAATCGACATCATCATGATGGTGAGACAACTTCATGCTATCATCAATAGAAAAGATAACCTCTTCTTCCCCTGCCCTAAGTACTAACTATTCCCCATGCAGATCAATTAAGGCCTTTGTGGTAGCTAATAAAGGTCTACCCAGGATTAATGGTACATCAACGTTGTCGTCGATGTCTAGAATGAAGAAATCGACAGGGTAAATGAGAGGTCCTCAACAATTTATAAGGCATCACATATATACTTTCTCCTAGATCCCCCAAGGATTTTCCTAAGCACATGTTGCCTATAAAACAAGGGATAGTAAAACTCCCTTGATCTTTGCGCTTTGTGGGCAGGTGGTTATGCTGGATGGCGGAGCACTCTTCATTCAAGGTCACTGTAGCCATCCCTTCCAGCTTCCTCTGGTTGGTGAGGAGGTCCTTGAAGTACTTTGCATACTTGGGCATCTAGGTGAGGGCCTCCACGAAGGGGATGTTGAGGTGCAACTGATTCATCAACTCCATGAAGTGGGCAAATTCTGTCGCCATGCGGTCATTGCGTAGTCGAGAAGGTTAAGGAATAGTTGGAGTTACCTTCCCCCCCCCCCCCCCCCTCTGCCCCGGTGGAGGATCGCCCATCTCCCCTCTGTTTGCACTTGTGCCTCCTTGTCGTTCGGGGACACTACCGGCTCCATCTTACTCTTCTGACATGGGTGGTTTCTTCCTCGAGGGTAGCTCCTTCGCTTGTCTCCCACTTCGAAGAGTAACTGCTCTTACTCACCCTTCTTCGAATTTCTTCAGGGACCGAGCTGCTTACGAGATAATCCCCACACTTGTGGTCAAGGTTGTCAAGAGTGATTGATGACTTTGCAACCCGCCTCTATGGTTGAGAATTTCTCGGTCGCCTCCCCTATGAATCTCTCAATTTTTTTCAAACTTCTTCGAGTTGGTGACGACAAAGGTGGTCACTAACTCTTCCAAACAAGACAAATGGTTGGTGTGCACAGGGGAGATAGAGTTCAACTGCTCGTAATGGGACATTTCCTCGTTCATCACTCGGCGCTCTGATTGCTCATAACCTAAGCTTGCACCCCAATCATATGTCACTAACGGCTCCTTGTCTTGCTTCTTTCTCTCAAGGATTGCCTCAATTAACTTGTCAAGCTTTGCTTCAAGTGGAGCACTTGCTCCCACACTTCGCACACCTCGACCGGTGCTTCTCTTCCCCGTTCTTGTCAAGCCCCAATCATATCCCTTAAGAGACATATCTTTGAGCAACTCGGTCACTTGAGAAGAGTTCATGTTCATCAACCTCCCTTGTCAAAGAGAGTCAATAAGGATCTTGTCATCTTGAATGAGTCCTCCATATAAAGTTTCTATCCAAAATTGCTCCTTGAATCCATGGTGAGGGCATTGGAGGAAGTAGTCGGAATATCTTTCCCATGCATCCCTCAATGTCTCATCCTCCTCTTGCTCAAAGTGAGTGATCTTCTTCCTCCACTCGACCGTCTCGCAAGGAGGACAATATCGGGTCATGAACTTGTTGTGGAGATCCCAAGAGGTGATGGATAGAGTCGGACGGTTGTGGAGCCATCGGAGTGCCTTTCCCACCAAAGAATAGGGGGAGAGCTTCAATCACAATGCCTCCTCGTGGACCCCATCTATCTTCAAGCTTCCCGCTAGCTCAAAAAACCTTTGGACATGTTCTCGTGGTGATACATGGGCAAGCCTGTGGAAGTAGTCATTTTGTTGAATCATCATCACGAGAGAAGGCTTGATCTCAAAGTTGTTAGCGCCCACGTGTGGATGTAAGATAGGAGATTGGATATCCACTGCCCGTGGAGCCATGTAATAACCCATAGTCTTTGGCCCTTCCTCGGCTTCCGCTTCTCCATTTGGGTTTGGAAGCGGTTTAGACCCTCAGTGTTGATTTCTCGCCATCTCAACTACAACTCCTTCTTCAGTTACTTCAATTTCAGGATCAACTTGTTGTCCCCTTTCTTCACTTCCCCTTCTTGCCTCCACTTTCTCCCTCTCGCGAGCGAGAAGTCGGAGGGTCCGGTTGATGTCCTCATCTAGTGGTGTTAAAGGCGCCGGATTGCTCCAGGTCATGCACCTCCCTACACACACTCAAAAAACACAACACGTCTAGCACAAGCAGACACTTCACAACTTAACAAAAAACAGAAATTAAAAGCTAGATTAACCCCAATAAAACTTTTCACAATAACGGACCGAAGTCCCCCGCAACGACACCAAAAACTTGACTCGCTCTGACTATTATAATAAAATCCCACCTAAGGTCGAAGTATAAACCTTAGATGGGTGCAATATTGGGCAAGTATGTTTAAATATTAACCCGGGCCGGTCCATGTACCGCTTCTTCGACGGTTTGAAACATTATCTAGAGGATTGGTTTTTGTGGAAACAAAGGTCTAAAACTAAATTGCTTTGTAAAGGTAAAATGGATTTGACTCTAGTTGAGATAGCTTCATCCAGGTGTTGCTCCCCCTAGTTAACAATTATGACTTGAAGAATCAAACGACCGTGTGTGGTTAGGGGGTCATAAACCGCAGGGAAGTCTAACAAGCAGCCGAAGCTACCCTCTTAGCATCTAGGTTGAGGAATAGGATACAATCCAAGCTGCTAATGTGACCCTCTCAACTTATCAACTAAGGAATGGTTAGACTTCACCCTCGAATCGGAGTTTGGACGGCAACCCACAATCAAACCCTAAGTGCTAATGCGGATTAGAGGTTTGCCCTTTAACTAACCTAGAATAGCAGGCATATAATGCCCAAGGATACTCATCTCTAATAGAGCCTCTTAAGTTAAGGAGGGTTATCTCCAATCTAGCTTAGGAGGTATTGAATGCCCAAGGAAACCCATCTCGAATGAGCCTCTTAGGTTAAGGAGGGTTCTCTCTAAACTAGTTTAGAAGGCGTAGAATGCCCAAGGAAACCGAGTATCTTGGGTAAAGGAGGTTTCCTATCTAAACTATGCTAGGATGCAAGAAATGTCCAAGAACCCCATCTCAATATTGAGCCTCTTAACCTAATGAGGGTTCCTCTCTAAACTAGCCTATGAGGCCTGAAATGACCAAGAACACCCAATGAACCTCCTAACCTAAGGAGGTCTCCTCTCTAAGCTAGGTTAGAATAGCAATTAGATTGATAGGCTTTCACACAACACAATCATATTTGAATAATACCCCCACATTCACATTAAAACACAACCACACCCAAATCATTCAATTCCTACAAGCATTCACATAATTGTAGCTAGGGTTTACAAACACCCAAGTGAAAGAAGGGACAACTCCATGCTAAGAGAAGTGAAAACACAAGAGAGGGAAAAGGGAAACCATCAAGAAGATGCAATCCTTGCTCCTTGTGCTGAAAAAAAAAATCCTCCTTTGGGGAAGAAATTCCCAAAACCTTGCTTGGAGAAGAAACCCTAGCTTTTCCTCTTCTTTGGTTCGTCACTTTCTCACTCTAAAATCTTACGAAGGAGAAGTTTTTCACTCTAGGTCTCTCTCCCTCCTTTTCTTCTTCCTTTCAGCTTTCCTTTTAAGTGGAAGATCGCGCCCAGTTCACGGCCTGAGTTCACGGCCGTGAACATTGAAACTCGTCCATGAACTCAGTGTCGCGACCAAAATGCACTGCTTCATTTGCTCGGGTTCACAATCAATGGCCTCTGTTCATGGTCTTAGCGATCGTGAACTGCCCGGGCGTCAGTAACCTAAAAAACCCCTCTGTTTGCTCCTCGCTTCACGGGTTATGGCTCCAGTTCACGGTCCTGTAAGACCGTGAACCCCAACGTTAGGTCGTGAACAGCGGTTGTCTCCACCTCTTTGCCTGGTCGTTGCTCCTTTTCTTCCAACTTTCGACTCCGGGTTTGGTTTTACCTGTTAGGATCTGAAACAAATTAAACACAAGCAACCTCGCATAAAACCACTCTTTTTGGAATACAATTGCAAGAAACGTCAAAGAGAATCGGGGATAAAAAGTGTACAATTAGGCCCGAATCAGAGGGAGTCTAAATCGCCACCCTTTCCTTTTACTAACTTTCTTCTTTTGATTCGTATGTTATTTTCAAGATCGCAATCGGTGTTTCGACGCCTCTGTTGTCCGCCCCATCGACAAGGGCTTCGTTTTTGTTGTTGTTCACGATGAACACTTTAACAGTCGTGATCCATGATCGAGAGTCTGTATATATTCTGCAAACGGACACCTTGGAACATTATTGATTCCAGTTTTTTTATTGTTCTTTCCACTGTGCCTCCGGTTCCAATCCGATCGTTGGTTCCTCAAACTGACATCGGAGAATGCCACCACCATATCGAGTAGCAGGCGGCCGGCTAGAAAACAATGGTTGATGAGAGAGGAGAGAGCTCCCCTCATTTTTTTTTGGTAGAATAATTTGACAATTTCTAACGCTAACTATTCAATACGTCAACGTATATGTCTTCCAAAGAATTAAGAAAAAACTATGTCCTAAACGCTAAAATGGTCTAGTATATTTCATGTATTTCGACAAATAAAATCATTCAGGTCTTCATGCATTTAGGTCCCATGAACTTTAATGGTCCAAATCTGTGCACCCCACGGACTTGAAAGTTCCACCTATTTAGGTGGGAATTGATCATGACTTTGAAGTCCATCATTTAAGACCAAACTACCCCTCCTATGTTATTTCACTGCTCATAACAATGAGGGCAATAAAAGTAAATTTCACTTCAATACATACAAATCTAATTAACCAATTTCTTCATGAAATCTATGAAACAAATAATAGTATTTTCAAGTCCATGATGAACCCAGAACCCTTATATATCTATGGTTTTACAAAACCCAAATTTTACCAAAAACATCATTTTTCAAATCCACTAAGCAAATGAGTCATCATTGTTGTTCTCAATTAATATGATTTTAAAGTGTATCAGTAGGGGTGAACATAAAATCCGAAACCAACCCAACCGTCAACCCGAACCGACCAAACCGCGAGACTCGAGGATTACAAAATATATGGGTGGGTTATTGTTTATTTATTGTCACACGGTAACGTTGTTGGGTGGATGCGATTTTGGAATTGGTATATCCGGAGAAACCTCACCCGTATCTTTTAGCTATATAATTCTTGTACAGCCCATTATATGCACACTCTATACAGACTTTTGTTTATCCATTCTTTGATCACAACATATATGTTGTTTGAGATGTTATAATGAAAGGTATGCTAATCTACGATTATATTTTTTATATAATGGCGGCGATATCATGCCTAACCATTAGTAGGCTGAGCTTATTATGTCGTTGATACTAGAGTGAATTCCAATTACTTCTAATTTAGAAAAAAAGAAGTTTCATGTTAGGTTCCTTTATGTACGTCCCAAGTAAATAGTTGTAACATGTATATAAAATTTTTAAGCAATATGAATAATTAACAGTCTTGAATATTAGTGTTTCACCTCGATTAATCCTTCATCAGAACCGATCCAAAGCCAACCGCATCCGTAGGATTTTGATTTTTCATGGTTAGATTTGGGTACTGCTTATCCAAATTGTAAATATGGTTCGGTTGACTATAAAGGTCTAAAACCATCTCACCACCCACGTACACACTATGTATATGATTTGGAGAGTTAGGGTTTGTAGTATAATAACATGTCCTAAAATCCGACTAATTCAACCAACCTGATTCCTCGCCTTTGATGAGTGAGTCATATGTCTCAATTCTCTAAATTTTACCTGTAAGCTCTAAGATGGTGCATCTGGAATGTTGGAGGTGTTACGTCGAATAATAAATGTCAATTATTGTTTCCTTATGAGTTTGTGATAGGGGTAGCCGAATAGGAGTAGGGATTCAGGTAGGTTTAGGTTACGTATTAGGCTTTTCTAAGTCTATAAATATGTAACTTGAGCATTAGTTCCTCATCGAATAATAAAGTTAAGGTTTACCGACACCAACGTCGTTCTCTCGCTTGCGATATACAAGCAAAACCTTAGAACAGAGGGCATCTGTTCATCAATTGGTATAAGATCCTGGTTCCGAAACCTTTCGGGACCTGTGCGAGATGGTAACAGGAATGGCGGCGGAGAGATGCTCGGCGTTGGAGGCGGTGGCGGCACAGTTGCAAGCAACTACGCAGGTCAACTCGCTGGCATCGACGACTTGAGAGAGCAGGTGAAGGGCATAGGGAGGCGGTGAAGGCGCTGGCGGCCAAGATCGAGGCATAAGCACCGCGACGAGAAGGCACGGACCTGGAGGCCGTACTCTTCGGGGAAGAGGTCGGTTCGTAGACAAAAGGGGAGAAGAGCGTTACTGGAACAAAGACAGGCGAGAGGAGTTCTACGGGGCCGAAGGTTGACGGTGAGACTCGCCGCGTCGAGATAACGACGCGTGGGAGCAGCACCCAAGGCTACCGGGGTGGGCGGCGGCCAAAGCAACAGCGGGGGAGGATTTTTGGCAAACCTTGCGCGGCTGGATATCCCCAATTTTGCGAGGGAGGATCCAGAAGCGTGGAATCCGCGAGTTGAGCAATTTTTCGAGTACCATGAGGTTCTGGAGGACGTGGGTGTTGCTAGCTGCCTTTCATCTGGAAGGGCAGGCAAATCAGTGGTGGCAATGGTTGAAGCGAACCTATAAAGATATCGGGAGCCAATTTCTTGGGTACTGTTCTCGCAGGAGCTGTGGGCGAGATTCGGACCGACCGAAGGAGAAATCTGCGACGAAGCACTATCACGGATTCGTCAAACATGGTCCTTGCACGATTACCAGAAGGAATTTGAGAAGCTGGCTAATCGCTGTGTCGGCTGGACACAACAAGCGCTGGTGGGCACATATTTAGGAAGTCTGAAGTCGGAGATCGCCGACGAGATTAGGATTTCTTGTCCGCAGTCTTTGCGGGACGCTATCAGCTTGGCAAGGATGAAAATGACCAAATTCAGCGCCATAAGCCGGCGGTGTCGTTTTCCGAAGGAGGAGGGTCAACTGGCACTGGTGGAGGTGGCTCTACCGGTGGAAGAGGTGGCTATAATCCAAGAACTGCAAGCTCGGGATTTCAAGAAGGAGGAGGACCCCCGCGTGGGCCGCTAGGAGGGAAGAGATTGAGTTGGGAGGACCAGGAGCTACGAAGAGCTGAAGGCCTCTGCTTCAACTGCGACGAGCGATTCACCATCGGTCACAACTGCAATAATGCTAAGGGGATGTGCTTGTTCGAGGAAGAAGATGGCGAGGTTCAGCCTTGGGGACAAGGTTGATTTCAAGGGGGGAGGATCGATGAGAGTATTTTCGGTTGGGCTTTTGATTTTTGGGCTTGGGTGTTTTTCCTTTTACGTCGTGTTTTCCTTCTGCGTTTGGGATAGGGGTAGCCGAATAGGAGTAGGGATTCGGGTAGGTTTAGGTTACGTATTATGCTTTTCTAAGTCTATAAATATGTAACTTGGGCATTAGTTCGTCATCGAATAATAAAGTTAAGGTTTATCCACACCAACGTCATTCTCTCACTTGTGATATACAAGCAAAACCCTAGAATAGAGGGCATCTGTTCATCATAATTCCATAAATGATTTTAGGGCTCGTTTGGACGAATGTTAAATCGTTGCATTGTAATGAATCACCATAATATAAATGCATGTATTGATACAATGGATGCATTTTAACAATACATTGTTTGGTAGTTGAGATTCTACTTTATGCATTGATTTACATAAAGTTACTTTTATGGGGAAATGTCATATTTACCATCAACTTTTAATATAAGACAAAAACTATTAGGGATATAAATGGAAAGAAAAAGTTGACTCAAATCTAAAAGCAACAATCACAACAATCTCAACTTTTAGTTGAGATTGTATAATGCATCATTTTTTGTAATTGTTGGTGGGACTTACCTAAAACAATGCATGCATTGTTTTACACTTTGATACTTCCAAAGATTGTATTGTGCACAATACATGTATTCAACAAACACAACTCTAATAATCACAACTTCCAAACGACCCCTTAGCTACTGAATTTATGTATAACCAATACGAACCAAAAACATATATAAGGGAAGGATAAAATACCAATTTCGAGCTAAGATACTCCGGCGGATAAGAGGTTGAAGTTTGGCGTCAGATGTGGAGGAGGAGCGCCATATGTGCACCCCATCTGCAGAAATGGAGGAGGATAATCTCTGGTCTGCTATGAAAGCAACCTATCATGGGAAATTGGTTTATTATGATCATAAACACTAGGTTTATGCAAATCGCCACCTCGACGTTTCTGCTCGGCCTTATACTTTAGCATTCCATGAAACTTGCGACTGACTAGAGCAAACTCTCTATCAAATTCAGTGCCATTATCCGACTCATAGTCCTCAACATGAGACTTGAAAGCTAAGGAGTGCCTGCGTTTTTCATCATCATGGCCAACCTGCTTAATGACATGCTCGTGACTAAGCAATGAGTCAATTAATTCATCTATAGCTAAGGTATTTAGGTTTCTAGCCTCTTCTATGGCTGTTCGCTTAGGAAACCATTCCTTAGGAAGAGACTGAAGAATTTTTCTAATCAGGTCTTTCGTAACAAATGTCTTGCCTAATCCTTTGAGCTTATTTATTAAAATGGTAAATCGCGAGTACATGTCATTAATGCTCTCACCTGGCAGCATGTCGAATGCCTCGTATTCATGCATAAGGAGATCAATGCGGGTCTCCTTGATGTTGGAAGTACATTCTTATGTCGTCTCCAGAGTGCGCCAGATTTAACGAGCAGATTCGCATTTCTTGACCTTGTCATCTTTGTCGCGAACCATGGCTGACTGGAGGATATGCATGGCTCGTTGATTGAGCTGACCGCTCTTCCTCTAGCCGGCGGACCACAGATGTTGTTTGGCAGCATTCATCTCGACCGGACCGTCACGGACAACCAGCCAGAGGTCCTCCTCGGCGCCCCACAAAAACGTCTTCATGTGTTTCTTCCATGCCGTGAAATTGGAGCCGGTGAACAGTGGTGGGCGATTGTAAGATGTTTGACCGAAACCTGAGGAAGCCATCGTATGGATCGGCCTTGGCAGTAGTCAGCTTCTTCAAGAGTGGGCTCTGATTCCACTTGTGAACAGGCTAGGGATTCAAGATTTTTTGAATTGGGGATTTTGATTAGAGAAACCAGAGAGCCAAACAAAGGGAAGAAGAGAAG